AGTTCAGTAGAAGGAATGCCCTGTGTCAGAATATACTAGAAAAAACTATGAGTACTATAGTGCACTAATCATACTACGCACCTACTGGAAAGTGATAATCAAATTCAACACAGAGGTGTGTACACAATACATTATCAGTGTGCAAGAGAATCTGCAATGTGAGGCTATGCTCCCAGCCTTCCTGGTACAAATCAAGACTCGTGACATACCAGAAATGTAAGGTTTGTTTCCTGTTGGAGGCAAATAAATCCATACCTCCAAGTGGAAGAAAAACATTATGAACTCACCAGGGAATTTTCTCTCCTTCATTCCAGAGGCAGATGAAGTTATAGGCAGGGTGGATTTGGTCTACCTTTGGAAACGGGGATAAATTATTTCATGCACTTGTCACAAAATAAACTTACATGGAGAACGAGACAAAGCCTGAGCCAAGGGAAGAAACCTAATTGAGATTGATGGAACTGTACGAAGTTTCAAAAACTTCATCTTGAAACAATTTTGCTGAACAAACTTGAACTACTCACTGTTAAAATTCTATCTCCTTCTTGCAGGCGTCCATCAAGTGCAGCAGCACCATTTTCTTTGATCCGACTAACATAGATGCCAGTGTCATTCGCGATGTGCTGTTGGTCTATCCCGCCGACTATATTAAATCCTAGGCCTAAGAAGCACAGCAAATTACGTAATTAGAAATGAGAATGTCCAAGCCTAGAAATAAAACACAATACATACCATTCCTTTCTATGTTGTGCCAAAGTAGACATTATTTTAATTGTGCAGTTAGCAATCTCACCCAGTTTTTTAAAAAATAATATGAAATACAAGAGGGGAATTTTCATGAGGTCCACAACATGAAAAGAGGCTTCCCCTTTCCCTCCTGTGTTGCAGTGCAAATGAAATGATTCAGTGTGGCAAAAAGGAGCTCCCATCAGCTGCAATGGAAGCATTTCCCAACAGTATTACCCTGAAAATAAGCCCTAACCTAAAAATAAGCCCTAGTATGATTTTTTAGGATGCTTGCAATATAAGCCTACCCAAAAATTAGCCCCAGTTAAGTGAAACCCTGCCCTCCACCATTGTGCAGCAACCAGAAGATGACATGAATGCATTTGAAGAAATGTAAATTGTTGTACATGAAAAAAATCCCCTAAAAATAAGCCCTAATGTGTTTTTTGGAGCAAAAATTAATATAAGACCCTGTCTTATTTTGGGGGGAACACAGTAATTGCCAGGGTGGTGTGAGATTTTCACCAGGGTTATACCCTGGAAGAAAAGGGCTAAGTTCTCTCCACCATTGGAATCTTGATAAAAATTCCTATTTTTGCCAGCTTTTTTCTTTTCCAAAAATTCAGGAATGACTGCCAGCAGCACAACTGACGTAATATTAATTTCAGCTAGAGATGGGCAGTTCATGCCGGTTCATTTCTCAGCCAAACAGATATTTGGCACTTCAAAGCCCCACCTCCTCCAGCCAGCATCCACTCAGAGGCAGCAGCCTGGCTCCCTGCATCTCTACTTTTGGTCATATACTCATCATAGAATCATGAAGTTGGAAGGGCCTATCAGGTCCTCAAGTCCCATTCCCTGCTCAATGCAGGAATACAAATCAAAGGATATCTGCCAGGTGATTGTCTAAATTTCTCTTGAATGCCTCCAGTGTTGGAGCACTCACCACCTCTTGAAGTAATTAACTCCACTGCCATACTACTCTGACAGTTAGGACGTTTTTGCTGATATTTAACTGAAATCTGGTTTCCTATAACTTGAGCCCATTGTTGCATGTCCTGCACTCTGGGCTGATTGAGAACATACCTCACCCCTCCTCTACATGACAACCTTTCAAGTATTTTAAAAGCGGTATCATATCACTCCTCTGTCTTCTTTTCTCAAAGCTAAATATGCTGTGTTCTCTCAGTGGTTCCTCACAGGGCTTGGCTTCCAGCCTTTTGATCATTCTTGTTGCCCTCTTACTTGTTCCAATTTGTCAGCATCCTTCTCGAAGTGTGGTGTCCAGAACCGTACACAGTCCTCAAGATGAGGCCTAACTGGTGCCAAATAGAGGGGAACTAGCACATTGCGAGATTTGGAAACTATACTTCACTCTAAAATAGCATTTGCTTTTTTTGTAGCCACATCACACTGTTGGCTCATATCCAGCTTGTGATCTACAACAATTACAAGATCCTTCTCACTTATAGTATTACTGAGCCAGGTATCCCCCATTTTCTAACGGTGTGTTTGGTTTCTTTTTCCTAGGTGCAGAACTTCGCATTTATTCCTGCTGAATTTCATTTTGCTGTTTTTGGCCAAGTGATAAAGCCTATCAAGATATTTTTGATTTTTTTTTTGTCTTCCAGCTATTCCACTCAATTTTGTGCCATCTGCACATTTGATTAGCATTCCCTGAACCCCCTGATCCAGGTCATTAATAAAAATGTTGAAGAGGACTTATCCCACTTGTTACCTCCTCCCAGTTTAAGAAAGAAACTATTACTCATCACCCTCCAAATACAATTCTGCAGCCCACTGTATATCCACCAGAC